AACAGCCTGTTCTTCTGTCCCCCGGGGCAGAGGGAGATAGGACAGGTAGGACAGGACACAGCCTTCCGAGCAGATGCATTGGAAATGTTTGTGTACAGATTGGATCTGGACATGGACAGAGGGTTTTTTTAAAAAAAAGCTGCTCCACAATAAACCCTGAGCTGGTTTCAACAAGTTCCTCTCAGACACCAGCAATGAACTCTCAGATCCTCCCTCCCAGAGACCCCGGAAGTCCAGTCATAGGCAGAAATGTAATGCACTTCTTGATCTTTGCAGCCATTTATTCAATCCTCTTAACTTCAGGGCCAAAATAAATTGTTTATTACTTATAGCATATAAATATAAATATATATGTTTATGTATGTGTGTGTGTGTGTGTGTGTGTGTATACATAGATATTAAAGATCATCACAACTTGTGTTCAGTTCCAAGGATGGCAACTTACATTCTCAAAACTGAATCCCCCCCGGAGGTGTGAAGATTAACTCATTTGCTTAACCCTCTGAGCACAGTGCCTAGCCACCTATTCCCATTTTTATTTTTGCTGCCGGAGCCTGCTGTCCCTGGCACGTGAAAGGGGCCCGGGATGCAAAGTTGTGCAGAGCACAAGCCAATCCACAAGGCGTTCGCTTTGTGCAGAGGAAGGAAGTCAGCACAGGATGGCACTAAAACAGGGTAAGAGACCCAAGAGCAGGTACAGCCTCCAAGGGGCACAGAGAGGAAGCCCCTGCTCTCTCTGGGGGAAGAGGGGACATTCGCAGCAAAGCTGCTGCAGCCAGTCGTCTTGAAAAGGCAACCAGATGCCTAAGAACTCTTTAAGGCTGAACTTTACAAGTTTTCTTAAACCGTCCATCTAGAATTCCATCTGTATGAAAGTTACCTTTCGGCATCCAGTACCCACCGAGAGCACATTCACTCATGAACTCTCCATCCAGAAACGCAATCATTAATTACTGCTGGACACTGTTCTCACAGGAACGCTAACAAAACTTCTTTAGCAAAGATGGTGCTGGGCGTCAGAAACACTATGATGTCCTGCCCTTGGCATTTGTGATCACCCTTTTCATAGACAGGAAAGGGGCTGGCCAGGGCTCAGACTTTCCCGTGGCATTTCACAGGGGCTCCTTTTAAACCCAGCGCCGATGCCTGGAGAGGAGCCTCACGTCATAGGTGCAATTTCAAAGGCGAATGCACGGGGCAGGGAAAGGTCTGGGGAGACAGGACCAGCCCCAAGGCCATCAGGAACCCAGGCCCGGGGGGTGGGGCCCAGCAGGGCCCAGGTGCCTGCCTCCGACAATGTGGTTCCCAGCCACTGGCTGCCTCAGCGCCCGGAGTGCACCGGGGTCTCTTCCCCTTCCCCACCCCCACCCCCAGACTCAGCTTCATCGCCGGAGTCCTCACTCCCTGAACGCAA